TATAAAAGAACAGACTAACTAAAAAAGAAACTCGAAAATAAAAGCTATAAATATAACTACGGAGTCTTCAGGCGTCCCCTTCGCCGTCTTCTTGCGGAACGGGCTCGGGAACAATGTCTTCCTGATCTGAAATGATTAAATAAGGAATGAGCTACACCAACCTAGTAAAAACATCACACTATCTCACCGTCACGGAGTAAAGGTGGGTAGAAAACACAAAAAGACCAATGGAGCATAATTTACAACAAATTTTTTTATCAATAATAAAATCCTTTACTATCCACTTACCTCGATGAAATTCATAAAACAATATACGAAAGCAGTAACATTATCATTATCATGAAATCATATGAGCTGTATAACATAATATTTATCACACCTTTGCAATTCAATCATTACATAACATATTTTTCCTCATTTACCAGCCAACTAGTATCCATAGGGATCCATAGGGGTCCCGCTACCCGTGAACCTTTAACACTTATAATCAGATTCCAGGGCCGTCCCCATACCCCGTCCGGTATGGACGCCAAAACTATAAACCTCAATATCTCGTCCGGTATGAGGGTGAAACGGACCGTCCCCATACCCCGTCCGGTATGGGCGCCAAAACACATAAGGTCTCCATACCCCGTCCGGTATGAGAGACCACAATCCCGGTAGGGTTCCTTACGGACCCGGTCCGTCCACCATCTCCCAGAATATCTAGTCAGGCTGACCACATTATACAATTATCAATTTACATAACCTTTCATTCCCCTTTTCCTCAGTCAGCATCATCAAATCACACACAAACAAGCAACCAGTAATTCATGCCAAACCAGACAACATACAATATCAGGTTCTCAGTCATTCAACCCATAATCAATAAAACAGTGATATATACACATGAAACTATGAAATGAAAACATCAAACCTCATACTGCATTTAAAACTGTAAAATAGGCCAAATAACAGCTGACCGGCAAACACACCAGACTCGGGCTCCATTAGCGACTTTAAACAATTTCACACATCTGTTGATTCATGAAATACCGTTTTATCATTTATTTAACTTTAATACCGTGATAGGAAATAGGGTGAGAGGTCCTTACTTATTTCGGGGTCTGAATACGGCTTTACAGTGCGCCTGCAGGCTGTCCCTAATTTTTCCTAAATTTTTTCCGGGGAACTGAAACGCACTACTGGTACCTGCACGTGTCCCAAAAAATCCCAGATTAGACCCAGGGCCCCTTTCGGCCAATATCGCAATTCCAGCACGGCAGCTCCGCCATGCTCCGGCGACGGCGCTGCCGCTTGCGGCGGCGATTCACCTCGGGTTGGCCGTTTTCGGCCACACTTGCATCGGTCCCTGCGATAAAACAACCCTAGGGCCCTCGGGGGGTCAAAAAATTATGAAAAACCGAAGCTTACCGGCGGCGGTGCTCTCGGGTGCGGCGGCTCTCCGGCGAGGTTCGTGTTTTGGTGATTCGGCTCCGATCAACC